TGTGTTCATCCAGCTCTACACCGTGTTATCTCAGATTCTCCAGCATCGGCAGTTCCTACTATCTCTGATACCTTTGAAGGTACTTTTATTGGTCACAACTTAGTCTTATGTTTTTCTGGAGAAAAGAACTCCTTCAAGTATAATTATACCTTCTCAGTTCTGGTATCATCCTACTTGCATCTTCTCCAGTTCTGGCAAGACAGACTATTGTCCAGGGCATTTGTGGTTTCACAGAATATGTAACATTTTTAATTGCAAGATATTTCAGCAATAATCCCACCCTCCTTTTGCCTGCCCCAGCTGAAAGCCAGTGAGGCTGAGGGAGATTCTGGTTTCATTCTGAAAGTTTCATCTGACCAAATGATCCAAAGTGAATCTCAAAAGAGTGGGACAAATCAATCGCATGAACATATTCTGTGAAACCACAAATGCCCTGGACAATAGTCTGTCTTGCCAGAACTGGAGAAGATGCAAGTAGGATGATACCAGAACTGAGAAGGCATAGTTATACTTGAAGGAGTTCATTTCTTCAGAAAAACATAAGACTGAGTTGTGACCAATAAAAGTACCTTCAAAGGTATCAGAGGGTACATTTTAGACTGGAGCTCCTCCACAAACACTTTTACCCAATGAAAGCACATACAGAGACCTCAGAAGTCCACAATTCCAAAACCAACTCCTCTAGCATGATTTCCAGTCATATATTTGATTGCCTGTTAAACAGAGGCGAGTTTCAATGTTATATTTCAGGAAGCCAGGTGGTGAAGGATAGAACTGCACCCAATCTTTACACACTTTTATAAGCATTTACACTGCAAATTACAGAGATACAATTACAAGCAAGCACCTCCTAATCTAACCCTCACCTTCATCCACTGCTGCCAATTTACATAACTAAATAGAGTTTAGGAAACAAAACATCGCAGGCTGTCAGCCATGTGGTGATTGCTGGTTGAGTTGTCAACCATATTTACTAAATATATATGGCGCAGTCTCTCACGCATAAATGTGTATCCACTTGAGAAGGCAGATGCTCATCCAGAAAGGCAGCTGCACTGACAGTGCAGCATTTTCTCAGCACTGTCCTGGAACATCAGCCCAGATTATAGGTTTGCATCCCTGGAGTGAGACATCAAATCCGCAACCTTTTAAGTCAGACATAAAAGTGCTACCAACTGAGCCACAACTATTGTGCAGCTTAATGTGCAACTCAGAGAAAGCTTCAAATAATCAGCCTTAATATAATTATCACAAAGCAGCTGATTCAATAGATCATCTCCCTGCTCCAGTTGGTCTCATCACTCAAAGAGCAATGACTGTGTCCCAGTATTTTCTTGGCTCAGACTGACTTACCGTATGTAGGATAGTAAACAATACAGGGAACCAAAAATCATTAAACCTTGATAAGATTCATTGGTCTTTCCTGTCAAAATAGATATACTTCACAAAGCTATCTGTCTCACATTTATTGACAATAGATATTTTCACTTGTTCACTTCAGACAGGAAAAGATGGATTGTTCTCCCAGTTGACTCTCAGAACCAGTGAAGTAGAGATAGGTTTTTTTTCTGGAATTGTTGCCATAATATTTCCTTTGCTCTCTCATTCTTTTCTTGTTTTTTTTTGTTTTTCTCTTTCTCTTTCAGGATCTCATCTTTAACTCCTTCTGTTTAACTCACATTCTTGCACACTTTCTCTCCCTGTTGCTTTTAAATTTGTTTCTCTTTCATTATCACCTACTGTATCTCTATCCCTACCTTTCCATCAATTTCAGTCTTCCACCCTCCTGCTCTTTCTATATATTCTTCTTTCCTTCTTTCTCCCTCTGTCTCCCTCATTCTTCCCCCCACCCCTTTCCCAGTTGTTTCTTTTGCATTTTCATTGCGTTTCTCACTCTACATCTCTTTTTATCGTGCAGACATGTTTGGTATCATATTCTCTGTGTAAGGTGGTAACAGTCTCTGCTAGCTCTGAGGAGTTGAAGAAGACATACTTACATAGTTAAAAAGAACTGAAATGATACCTTATTCTAAATAGGGTAAATGGTAATGTCCAGAAATTGGCACAACGCTGTTGGAAGCAGAATTTAGCAATACTACAGTTCCCCCACGATACAAAATCGCCAAAGTTGTTTCAAAGATAAGGCGCCTTCATATTCCAGAAAAATTATGGATGTTTTAGTTCATTTCCACCTTTTCTAGATAAAACAATTGCAAATAGGACACTGGAGGGGCACAAGTTTAACTTAAATCAGCGGGCACAAAACACAGAGGATAAGGCAGAGTGCCAGCTCTAACCCCTGCTCATTCTTGACTCATTATTACAGACAGTAAAATCTGGCCAGGCATAAACCCAGCATTGCACCTGATCCTGTGGGTTTCATGTAAGATGGGATAAGACTCAATAGCCTCTAAGGAATTACTGTGTCGTTTGAATCATAGAATAGAATCATAGAATCACTACAGTGTGGAAACAGGCCCTTCGGCCTATGTCTTATCAAGATGGAGCCATTGACAATTGAAAAGTGATTCCCCTCCCTACCCCTAAAACATTTCCCTGAAGGGAAGCCACACCCAGCTGAGTACTTTAAACACTGCTGATTTCCCACTGCACTGCTTCCCAATAGTGATTAAGACAATGTTGAGCTACCCGTGGGAAATCCAGGCTAGAATGTTAGAAGTGACCTGCCCCAGCGGTGTGTGATAACATCTCTGAACAGGTTGATTAGAAAATATCTCAAAGTGAATTACTGGGGACAGGAGTTTCCTCATTCTAAATTGGAGATGTTTTATTTTCAGATGGGGCTTTTCACTAGAATCTAAGTTCTGGGGGGAAAGTGAGGGGCAATTTTAGTCTGCTTTCATTTGAACATTTGTGGCAAATGGAGTTCTGTTCCTCTTAATTTGGTATTCTTAATCTATTTTGATTGATGATTTGCTCTGTCTTCTGACAGCTTTTCCCTTCAAAGCTTGTGTCTAAGCAATTAAGAATATTGTACATAAATCCCATTGTTCAATGATATCAAGTAAATAGTGCGCTGATCTGAGTTTAATGTGCACATTGCATTAGTATTAGGAATGTTAATCCCCCACATATTGTGCAATGGTGAAACTTTCACAGTGACATTTGATAAGGCAAGTTTTCCAGGGTTTGAGCAGTTTGAATCGAGTCTCGTGCAAGTCTCGGTCTTAAACGCACACTTGCTGTGCACCACTGAGGTTGAGAAAGGCGCTTTATAAATGCAGAGTTTCAACCTCCTGTGGCACTGCTCATTGTGAGTTTGCCAGGGGT